CCCGATCCCTGGTACCAAAAAAAAAAAAAAAAAAAGTCAAACCAATAGAAACCATTAACTCACTTCTCTAAAAAATGAATACAAGAAGTTTTCAACTTCAGCCAATAAATCTAACTATGAGAACAATACATATTATAGTTCCTATAGATTGTTACTGAATAAAGATGGACAGAGAACAGAAATGAAGGAGAAGAAAAGAGACAGACAGAAGGAGAAACAAGGAAAGGGAAGAGGATGGAGATGAAGAGAACTAGAGACCAGCCTGGGGGTGGGAGGGAGAAATAAATATCTTATTGAACATTTTACAGTTGTCACATTAATCTTCACAAAGCCATTTCATTTATTAAAAAAAAATCATGTATTATCCCTGTTCCACAGTTAGGGAAACTGAGGCGTAATAGCCCTACCAGTATGTCCAAGGTCATTTAGCAGGCAAATGGTAGCTACATCTTGGGAAAGATTTCTCTGCTTTCAAGATACATGGTTTTTTGCTCTTCTCCTGTCTTTCCTCTCTGTTCTCTCTCTTCAGTTTCCATTTTTTCAACCCCTGCTTGGTTACCTCTTCCCTTTCTGCCTTTCTCCTTCCTCCCTGCACTTCTCCGATCACCGAATACCGCTGTCACCTGGAGGCTTTGCTTCTCCTCCAGGCTTCAGACTCTAAGTAGTGTTTTTCAGTCGCATCCATCTCTGACTGACCTTGAGGGCTCAACGACATCACTTATGTGGCCAACTCAGTGTCGACACCCCAGTTTCAGCTCATCCCACGGCCTTGTGTGGCTCGTTGCCACCTCGGAGCGTGGGAGGCACTTCTGCAGGTGGAGCGCAGGCAGGAAGGCAGAGTTCAGACAGCAAGAAGTGGCTGGCAGCAGAGGCTGCTACCCTGAGGGTCTGGTTAGTCACCCGCTCACAGTGGAATTTGCTCCATTCTTAGGAGGTAAACCTGTGTTCTAATCTGGAATTCTACTTATTGCTGCTGGGAATAAGATGGAAACCACAGCCTAATCTAGAAGATGGAAACTAAGCCCACAGAGACGATTCTCTTGCTGAAGGGGACAGGACTGGGAAGAGGGGGCCCTGCCTTCCATCCCCATTGTGCAGACCCAGTGGAGTCAGAGGGCTGACGAGAACCTTGATAACAACCCAAGCTTGGGGAACACGGAGATGCTTCCAGCCTACACCTTTGCCTATGTGCCTTCCCCCACCCTTAAAATCAGCCACCGATTCTGAGATGTCATCGAGGAGGCGACACCCCTCCACCCCTTCACTTACTAAATCCCCACAGCAGCTCCCTCAAGATCCTCCCTGACAAGTCGGATCCCGTGCTGCCGTGTTCAGGCTGGTGCACACGAGGGCAGAGTTAATGGGACGTGAATGCCAAGGATGAAGCGCAGGGACTGACAGGGCGTTTGTAAAGCAGCGCACTTGCAGCTTAACCATTGCTGCTTCACGCTTTAGCAGGGCAGCGGGTAGAGAAAGGGGGTGGGACACCCAGTGGGTGCGAGAAGGGGTGGCTCCCTGAAAGAGGGGGTAGAATAGGGTGTTTAAAGTTTAAAATGCAAATGTATTGTGGCCTTCATAGTGCATTGTTAAGAGTAAGGGACTAAGGAGCCCCCATTCTGGGCAGGCATAAGTACATAGCATTGCTTTCCTTGGTTCTTTGGTCAACGTGACAATCTCCCTGGTTCAGTACTTCAATGATCCCCATTTTACACACGAGGAAAATGAGGCTTAGGGAGGTAACTAAGTTTCCCGCACATGTCCTGGGCATGATGTAATCTCTGCATGTCCGCTGCATGTCAGCTGTGCAAGAAGAAAGGCAGAGGAGCCGGGAACGAGCCGAGAGTGAGGCCAAAGGTGCCAGCAGTGGCCACGAAGACATGCCCGTGGAGAGGATTCTAGAAGCAGAACTCGCTGTTGAACCAAAGACAGAATCCTATGGTGACATGAACATGGAGAACTCGGTACGTGGGCTATCATTTACGTCAGGCTCATTTCTTGGGTCTGTCTGGGGGTGGAGGAGGGAATCGCAGAGTGCCAGGACCTGTCCCTCATGGGACTTTGTTCCTTTTCAGACAAACGACCCTGTCACCAACATATGCCACGCTGCTGACAAGCAGCTTTTTACCCTTGTTGAATGGGCCAAGCGCATCCCCCACTTCTCGGATCTCACCTTGGAGGACCAGGTCATTCTGCTCCGGGCAGGTAAAACATACGGCGTTTCTGTTTTTCTTGGGGCACTCACTTTGGCTGCCCTTCTGAAACTACTCTTGGGATCCTAAAATAAGTAACTGGTTGGAGTTGCAGCTTGTGTAGGCTGTGTGGCAGGTAGACACAAAGGTGCTGGTTTTTTTTGTTTGTTTTTCAGTTCTGGGGACTGGACCCAGGGCCTTGTCACTGAGCTATGATCCCCTCCCACCCCTACTTAAAAAAATGTTTTTTGAGACATTGCTAAGTTTCTGAGGCCAGGTTGGAATTTGGGATCCTCCTGCCTCAGCCTCCCAAGTAGCTGAGATTCCAGGTCTGCACCAGCACACCTGGAAGGTTGCTCTTTTTTATGTATTTGTAGACTTGTAAATTTGGATAGCCCTCCTAAAAACTCTTCATTCTCAAATGAAACATTGTTAATGAAAGAGAGGGACTCTTTTCCCATGCAAATATTGTAGTGGTTTTATAGTTAGCATTTAATTTTCAAGGAGTCTTAAATCACTTTTATTGAGGATAATTGGATGCAGTGCTTCATTATTGTAATGGAATTAGTAAATGGAGATATTTCCATTTCACAGGTAAGACCAGAAAGCCAACACTAGGCAGTTTCAACTCTCTTCCCGGTTAAGATTCCATGCATTGCATTCTCTCTCACCTCCCATTTCTGGGGCACTGGGCACTCTTGACATCTGCCACATCTGCTTTTGTCACAGGGAAATTTCATGAAGACTGTTTCTTGCTTTGGGAGCCAATCTACTCATGTATCCCCGGTAGATAATGAGCCATCGGTGGGTGTCCACTGAGAGCTACGTACTGTGCTGGCTGTTGCTAGATAATGCCAAAGAAATAAAGCAGGTTGTCAGGTCCTGGGGGGCAGAGGCTTCAAGGTCTGTTCACTTCACCCACCACGCCAGCTCACATAGTGACTGTTATCTAGTGAAGCTTCAAGTCACGTTTGTTGAGTGATTTACAAAAGAGCCCTGTCTCCCAGGTGTCATTCTGGGCTGGATGGGCAAGACCATGGGAGGATGTGCAGAGCCACAAAGTCGGAAGACCTCACTTTTATCCTTCACTTCCTCACTAGCGGTGTCATCTTGAACTGGACCTGAACCTCCCTAGAGTTCCAGTTCTGCTTTTAGTCCGCGGGACAATAATGCATGCACAGGACTCTTCTCCGTGAAGCAAGAACACTGCTGGCTTCCCCTCATGGTCTCCCTTTGTCCTTGCAGGGTGGAATGAGCTGCTGATCGCCTCTTTCTCGCACCGCTCTGTTTCCGTGCAGGATGGCATCCTTCTGGCCACAGGCCTGCACGTGCACCGGAGCAGCGCCCACAGTGCTGGTGTGGGCTCCATCTTTGACAGGTGCTTCCAGTATTTCTGTGCATGTGCGTGCGTGCGTGTGTATGCCCATGGATGTACACACAGGAGTGTATATATACATGCATTTATGTGTGTGCATGTGCCTTATGGGTAGTGCCAAGGCGTAGGACAGGCAGCCCAAACACGTGCACGTGGCTACGTAGAGACCATAAAACATGAAAACATGAACCTTGGGAATGAGTTTCGGAGTAAAAGCAAGGGTGAGATTATGGTACAGCGGAACTGACCAGAGTCCCACTGAGTTCCTGGGCAGACGGAAGAACCTGTTCTCCCTGTGGGTTTCCAGAGAACTAGTAAAGACACAGGGAGGGTGAACTGCTTATCCCAGGGACAGGGGATCTGCTGAGAAGGCCAGACAGGGAGGGCTGAGGTTCCCAGTGGACTTTGTAGAAACTCTGGGGAAGGGAAAGGCCTGTTGCATACGCAGACCCATCTCCGCCAGACAGTGATACTCTGTCAGGGATTCGGTGCCTAATGGTGCTGCAGGAAAATGGGCAGATTAAGGAGATGGGGTGAGAGATGAGGGACTGGTAAAGAGGAGAGCCAAGCCGAAAATGGTGCCAGAGCCCCAGGGCTTGTTTCTACTTGCATTATAAATGGTCTTCTTGGGTCACGCGGTCTTCTCGGGTCACATGGTCTTCTCGGGTCATGTGCACGTCCAAGTCCACCCAAGACGTCTCTGCTCCTCCCCACCCTCTCCCACCTGTTCAGTGTGGAAGTCAGCACAGTTTCTGGAATGACCCAGCCCCTTCAAGGAAGCCAGAGAGTCCTGCTCTGTCACTGAATTGCTTATCCTAGAGATCATTGCTCTCTGCTGGTTCTTCCCAAAAGCACCACTGCCTTGCTTTGCTTTGTTGCATTTCTAATTTCCAAGTCTTCCAAGATGCCTCTCCAGTCAGCTGCTCTGAGTTTACTGCTTGCTCCTTGGTCCATCCCTCAAGCTTTGTCCATGGCAGTTCTTTCACCAGGCTTTGCATTGCAACTCATTGCTTCTGTGTCTGTTTCTTCATTTAAACTATAATCTCTTTGAGGGAACAGACTGCATCTTACTCATCTCTGTGCCCCTAATACCTGGAGCACCTTCTGGGAAGTGGGCGGGTCCATAAGAAATGTTGGCAGGACTCACTTTGTTGGTCTTTGGTCTGGTACTCACGGTTTTCTCACTGGCTGCCCTTGTTTCCTACAGAGTCCTCACCGAGCTGGTTTCCAAAATGAAAGACATGCAGATGGACAAGTCGGAGCTGGGGTGCCTGCGAGCCATAGTGCTGTTTAACCCAGGTGACTTCGTGGGGTTGAACCTCCCCCGAGCTTGGTGTCCACGGCTCTGCGGTGTTTTGATCCTCTAGCTCAGCTGACACAGAGCAGAGTCGCCACATCTGGGCCTGATGTTCTGTAAATTCATACTGGATGGATGACTATAGGTCAGGCCTGAAGCCATCCACAAACTTTCCTTGGCTTGCCCTGGGGTCTTGCTGATGCACCCTCCTCCTCTGGAGCTCCTCTGCCCAGAGGCTGTCCACCCAGAGTCTGGACACTGTGCCTGTCTGGAAAGTGGGATAAACGCTGCATCTCCAGGGACCCCCCTTTTCTTTTTTTTTTTTTGGCAGTACTGGGGATTGAACCCAGGTCCTTCTCTGAGCTACATCCCCAGCCCATTTTTAATTTTTTTGTTTTTGGTACCAGGGATCGAACTCGGGACCTTGCACTTTTGAGGCAGGTGCCGGAACCACTGAGCTAAATCCCCAGCCCCTAAAACGATTCGCTTTTTTTTTTTTTTTTTTGGTATCGGGAATCAAACTTGGGTTCTTGCGCTTGCGCAGGCTGTCTTGACCTCTATCCAGAGGTCCTGACACGATCTTTGAGCTGTCCTGAAACGAGCCTTGAGTGGTGGCACGGGGCATGCTTGGGGCAGCTGGGGAGAAGAAAAATGGTGGTGAAGGAGGTGGTAAAAATGTTCTGACTCTGAACGTATGGGCAAAGCCGGTGGGATCTGCTCATGGATGAGACGTAGATGTGAAAGCAAGAAATGTAAAGTATGACTTGGGCCTTTTGTTGTTGTTGTTGTTTTACTGAACAATTTGAAAAATGGAGTTCTCATTTTCGGAGTTAGGGGAAAACTCCAGGGGAAGCAGTTCTGACAGTGGGTGGGTAGGAATCAGGATTTGTCTGCGGATATTAAATTCAGAGATGAATAGTAGACGCCCAAGAGTATTTCAAGGAGGTGATGGTGATCAGTGACAGCACGTGCTGCAGCCAGTGCCCAGAAGTGGGTCTTCAGAGTCACGCAGGACTTCACGCAGAGCGTCAGCTCCGAGTTAGGTGGTGAGTTCTGGATGTGGGACACACGCCAGCTTGGTTTTTTTACCCAGCTCATTACGTAGTCCGTGGTTAGCACATAGGAGGCGCTCAGTAAATGTGAAGATATTTCTGGAATGGGTGGATAAGCTGGAGCTCTCCTCCTCGGAGAGAGTGGGGAAACCATCGGGCTAGGAACCGGGTTTAAAACAGTTTATTGGGAAGCCGAGGCACAGGGAGGACAGCAGGCAGACACAGAGCACTGGCTTGCTTTCTTCACAGCTGGGCCTGCTTGGGAGCCTCTCCTGATGCCGTGGCAGTGTGCCAGAACAACCCGCAGGGCGGAGGTCCCGCTGAGGTGTAAACCAGAGGCTGAATCTCGTCTTTTTCAGATGCCAAGGGTCTGTCCAACCCCTCGGAGGTGGAGACCCTGCGAGAGAAGGTTTACGCCACCCTGGAGGCCTATACCAAGCAGAAGTATCCCGAGCAGCCAGGCAGGTGAGTGGTGAGGAGAACCGCAGCTGCCCCCACTCTGGGCTCGGCCGGCGAGCCCTGCCCTGCAGCAGCACCCAGTCACGGTGCCCAGCCTGCTGGCATCCTGGGCCGGCCGGAGCGAGGAGCAATTGTCTTGGGCCGCTGATATAATATATAATAGCATTACTGTAAGTAAGTAACAAAGCTTTCTTTGTTTTAAAATATTTTTATTGTAACATTAAGAAAAGAGGGGAGAGGCAAGCAGCCCCTGGGCTGCAGGTTGGTCACAGCTATGAGATGTTTCCAAATGTTTAGTTCCTCATAATGGGCCGAATACATTAGCTCCATGAGGCGAGAGGTGTCGGTTCTGCCCACTCAGTGCCCACTGCTCCAGTGTCTGTGTCCAAACCCCCTCCACAACCAGTACAGCAGCCCCCAATCCAAAGCTGGACTTTGGGCTGCTTTGGCACCATCAGTCAACCTTGGTCTGAAAATACTCAATGGATACTTCCAGAAATTACTCATAAATTTTATATACCTTTTATTGCATTATAATGTTATGATGGTTTTATTTTGTTATCTTGTCATTAACTTCATACTTGCCTAATTTATAAGTTAAACTGTATCATATATACACATATATATGATAAAAATATACCTAGGGTTTGGTGGCCCTGGGGTCTTGAAGGTAAGGGTGTCTACCTCTGCATCTTTAAATGTTGGGTGGACAAGTGAATGAAGGGATCACTGTGAGAATCATGTTCTCCATTCCAAAAGCAAAGGAGGCCCAGAAAGTGTGGTCACAGCTTCAGGATTCAAAGCTGGTCCCTATTAGAGGTGACTGGGGACCCGGGTCTGACTTCACAAGCCTGTGATGGAGGTGTCTGTTTTGCTGCTTGGTCCGCCGCACGGAAAGCCCTGTGCAGTGCAAAGGACAGGTTTGGGGCCAGGGCTGTGGCAGAGTTCTGTCCACACGGCCTCATTGAGCCATCTAACAGTATAGCTACTGCAAGATACTGAACACGGCCTCGCCAGCTTTCCCTGGAAAACGCAGCTGACCAGGAACATCTCCTGCAAACTCTGGCTAAAATGAGAAAATATAGTCCTGTAATCTCACGGAAATTGGAACTGAAATGGAAAAGATTGCCTTAAAGACACTTTCGTTTTATCTTTAGGATTCAATTTATAATACCCTCTGTTGTGACTAATGACTTTTATTCCTCTTGAAGTCTAATTCCATTCAGCCGTTTATCAGGGATCATAAGTCAGCGTCTCCCCACTGTCCAGGACAGGCTGAGCTGCACTTTTGATCGGGGGCTGTGAGGAAACTTAGAGGTGGGGTGCAGCCTTTGGTGCAGTGAATTAGCGGGCGAGGCATTAGGTAGGGTTTACCCCATGATAACAGACCTCCCGAAAGTCAGTCACCAAACGCAGCAGGTGTTCTTTTTCTCGCTGTTCAGTGTGGGCAGGCAGTGAGTTCAGGGGCGCTGTCTTCCACATGGTCACTCAGGGCCCTTGCCCTTCCTTCTTCTGGCTCCACCGTGACCCGGAGCACACTGAGGTCTGCACCAGGTGGTGGACTGGGACGGTGGAGGAGCAGAGGAATGCCCATCTGGATGAGACAGGCCCCAAGAGCTCCCTCACTCAATCGCTGCTTCCCTCGGCTGAAGCTTAGTCACATGGCCCAGCCCACCACAGAGGATGCTGGGAAGGGGCCCCCGCTGTGTGTCTAGGAAGGAAGAGAGGATGGAATTCAGTGACCACACAACAGACTCTCCTTCAGCTGCAATAGGAGAGACTGGAAGAGCCTCAGTGAGGTGGGACCGCCTGGCTCTGGCAGGTAGGAGCCCAGTGAGCCATGGTAGCTGAAAGCCTGAACTCCATGCTTTCTCGTGAATCTCCCAGCCCCACAGGCACATTAGATATGTTTCTGGTGCACACACTGTAAGCAGGGGAGACACATCCTTTAACTAAAATTGACCCTGGGAGGGCCGGGGATTTAGCTCAGTGCTTTCGCTGCCTGCTGCGCAAACGCAAGAACCCAAGTTCGATCCCCAGTGCCAAAAAAACAAAAGCAAAAGCAAAACTAAACTAAAAAAATTGACCCTGGGGCCTGCTGCTAATCTTTAAAAACAAAAACCCAAAAGACACTCAGCCCTTTCTTTCCCTAATTACAAAACCAGTGCTTGCTTTGGTAGGAAAGAAGGAAAATATTAAAAAAATAAATAAATAAATCAGCACACGCACAGGGGAGCCCATTCCCTGTAATCTCAGCACTCTAGGAGGCTGAGGCAGGAGGATTACAAGTTCCATCCCAGTCTGGGCAACTCAGCAACAGTGAGGCCCCATCTCAAAATAAAATATAAAAAAGGGCTGGGGATCTAGCTCAGTGTGAAGGCCCTAGATTCAGTCCGCAGTACTGGGGGAAAAAAAGGAAAGGAAAGAAAAAAAGAAAGGTCAAGTAGTAACATTTGGTTGCAAATATTTTGTTTCAGTGTCTTTGTGTGTCTATGTGTATATTCATACAACTATATTTGCAGATACGAATTTGTAGAGTCTTCCATATTATTTTTCTTCCATTAGCCATTCTGGGAATTTTATCCAATTATTGAAAAGCATAAAATGATCATTTTAAAAAGCTTAGTCATATTTTGCAATGTGGATTTTTTTTTTTTTTTGGTACTGGGGATCGAACTCAGGACCTTGTGATTGCAAGGCAGGCATGTGACACCACTGAGCTAAATCCCCGGCCTGTGGATATATTTTTATGTGTTTAGGATTTTCCTAAGAGTATCACTTTAAAAACTTTGGAACTTGGACTGGGGATTTAGCCCAGTGGCACCTGCACCTGCCTGGCAAGTCCAAGGTCCTGTGTTCGATCCCTGATACCAAAAAAAAAAAAAAAAAATTGGAACTTGCCTCCTTCTGGAAGAGGCCTTTGGGTTCTTACTGTCTGTTGGATCAGGGAGCGGGCAGAGCAGGTCCCCTGGGTCCCCTTAGCGGGTACAGCACAGCCTAGACGCTGTGAGTGCTCTGCCCAAGTGTTCCCGGGAGGCCAGCAGCTGCCCCAGGGTGTTGCTTGGCTGCTGCAGGCAGGTGAGTGTGCTGAAGGTGGTCACCTGTCGGTTGCAGAATCCTGTTGAGAAGGGTGCTTTTCTCAGTGGTGGAGTGCTGCCACTCCGTGGGCACTCCGTAGAACTGCACTTCACGGTGGCTGAGTCTAAACTCAGGAGGGCATAGGCTCACACACACTCTCTTGCACACGCAGCAGGGACCTTCGAAGACCGCAAGTCCCCGGGCTGGTTGGAGGCAGGGTCAGTTCTGTGTCTTCGCCCGTGAGGGCATGGGTGGCGATGTGGTCTAGTTCTTCCTCCGCCCTCCGTGAATGACGGAGTCTGAGGCAAGCCTAGGACGCGCCACGGACGTCCTCAAGAGGCCATGAGGTCCTCCTTCTGCCTGTAAGGCTAACTAGCCCTCTGGCCTGTTTCTGCAGCTCCCCGGGTTTAGAGATTTTCCGGCTCCCTCGTCCCCGCTTCCAGGCTCTCCTAGCACAGCTCGGTGGAGGAGATTGCCTGTCACCCTTGCCCTCTGGCCCCCCTGCCCTGGCACCCGTGCCCTCTGCCTCCTTGCAGGTTTGCCAAGCTGCTGCTACGCCTCCCTGCTCTGCGCTCCATCGGCTTGAAATGCCTAGAGCACCTCTTCTTCTTCAAGCTCATAGGGGACACCCCCATTGACACCTTCCTTATGGAGATGTTGGAGACCCCACTGCAGATCACCTGAGCGCCGCCAGCCACCCCCCCCCACCTGGGCAGGTGTGTGTGGAGCCCCACCCTGCCCACGTTCCTCCACTGCCCAGCCCGACCCCCACACTCTTATTCCTAAAATGTGATGCTTACAATAAAGAAATGCTTTCTACACGTGAGACTTTTATAGGTGGAGTTTTGTATAGATGTTAAAGGCAACTTTTCTTTGCTATCTAGGGGCTGAGGTCTTTCTGGAAGCTCTTGGGAAAACTAACCAGGCCTCTGTACATAGAGTTGGTTTAAATTATTTTTTCACTTGCCATGGAAAGCAAACAAAGAGTAAAATAATAAAGTTGATCTTGGCATTGTCGAGCGTGGGGTGTGTTACTGTGCAGCAGCGAGGTCTCTTGGATGGGAAGCATGGTACTGGGGCTGAGCTGGGGATTGCGGCTGGAATTCAGCCGGATGCATGAATCTGTATGGGGCTTCAGGGCACAGCCGGCTCTGTCCCAAGGCAGCCCCTGGGGAGACTGGGAAGAGACACTGTCTTTCAGAGTCCACTTGGTTTCTTAGTTTTGTTTTTATTTTTCCCTTCCTAAGAATAATGAGCAGAAAGAGCCTTGTTCTGATTGGGAGCAATTGAATAGCAGAGCCAAAGCAGATGTTCTCTTGATTCTTGGGAACTGGTGGGCAGGGATAACAAAGGAATGGATTCTCTATCATTAACCAGAGAGTTTAGCAAAAAGGCTGGAGCATTATTTCCCATTCTTATGTAGCCCAACATAGCTTGTCCTCCTGTGGAAAAGAGGAAATCCTCTCCCAGAACATAGCCTTGCCTCTCCAGGTTTACCTATTGGCCTGGAGCCTTCCCTTTGCTTAGATAGTGAGCCTTTTGAAGGTGGGCCCTGAGTCTACCACAGCCAACCTAAACAGCCCATTATCTTCACGAGACCTTCCTGCCATCTGGAGGGTAAAGCTTAACAGATACACAAGTATGTACCATGAGTTACATAGCACCACAGGGTTGTAGGTGCACAACCCGAACAACTGCTGGTGGTAGTCATGCTTCCCTTCTCTGTACCACCATAAGCTCACCCAGGTCCTAGCATACCATAGGCACACAGTAATGAGTGTTGTTGAATTGGGTCCACACAACAGAAAAGAATTTCCTCAAGGGTAATGGTGATGGCTATCACCTCATTCTCTGTCAACACCCTGTCCCCTCAGAAAACCCCAAGGTTTAATCCAATCCCAGTGCACTCATCAGTGATCATACAATTGTGGAGAAGCTAAAATTGCTTTTTCTCTGGGAAAGGTAAGGAGTCGCTAAGCCTTGGACATTGTATCGATCAGCTTTCCCACTGCAGAGGCAAAATATCTGACACCTGCAACTTAGAGGAGAGATGTATTGGCTCACGGTTTCAGAGGTTCCAGTCCATAGTCAGATGGAGCCAAGGCAGAAACATCATGGTGAGAAAGTGTGGTAGAGCAAGGCTGTTCCATTCAAGGCAGCTGGGAAGCAGTGCAGGTTGGACAGAGCAAGAGAGGAAAGGCCCAGGGACCGGATACAGTGCCCAGGGTCAGGCCTCCATGACCCACACAGACACACACACCAGTGTGCTTTACTAATTCCCTAAACATCACTCAAGCCAATCAAGTTGACAATCAAGAATAACCATCACAGACAGAAATCCATTGGATGAAAATCTTATTTCTGCTGCATCTTTCCTTTTCATTTTTATAAGCATTTGATACGACCCATACGGTTGGGAGAGGGGAGCAGAATTCCACTCTAAGCTCCCTGACCTCTTTCCTCTGCCATCCTAAGTCACAGGACACATGCTACTGCCTTCCAGGAAACTCACTGCCTGCCACTGCTGGGAAACCGAAGTCCCCTTCCAGTCTTTAATGTCTCCCTCATGGGACCCTTTCTCCCACCCACAGTAAATACAGGCTGCTCAAGGCCCTGCAGGAGTCTGCACTGTCACCAGGCTCTGTGTCTCCCAGAACCACTGGCAGGGCACCTCCCTGAGCTGAGGCCTCTCTTCGAAGGCTGGTCTGTGACATTCAGAGCGCAAAGGCCACCTCCATCCTGATCTGGTCTCCCTCACACCCCTGGCTGGGCACCTGAGGGGATGTTCAGCCCCAGGTAGAGCATTTTTGCTTCCCTGGCCCCCTGAAGCCATGACAGGCTGCCTGGCCCTTTTCTCTGAAGAGACCCTCTTCCTCCCTCAGATGCTCCCCACCTGGCTGCACCCACTCTGTGGTCCTGATGAGTGTCTTGAACCTCAGAGCTCCACACGGTCCAGCCTGACTTGTTACACAGGTAATAAAGCAGAGTGATCCAGCCTCATTGCCCAGTGTCCTGGTAGAATGTGGCCCTGTGGCTGCAGGGTGAAAATTCCATGGATTCTAGACTCTGACGGCTGGAGCCTGGCCCCTGAACTGCCCATAGGAGGTCTTTGCAGGGCGGTGAAGCTGCTCAGCCTCTCTGGCTCTCATTTCTTCCCTTTCTTTTTTTCCTTAAAGTCACATAATAATACTCTTAAATACAAAAAAGCCATAAACCCAAGGGTGAGAGGTTGTGATTTGGCATAAGATGAATTTACATTTGAGTCCTGTCTTGGTCATTTGTGACAGACATAGACCTCACAGAGCCTCGACTGCCTAGTCTGTACAATGAAAAATTATACCCCCTCCACCCAGGATCCTAAGAGGAATCCTGAGAGGAAACTTCTCAGCACAATGACTCGTGCTGAATATAGGCAAAAAGATTATTTTATTCTGAAGAATGAGACTGTAGTGCAAATGTAATTTTGGATTTGGAGATTACTAGATTATTCTGTTCCACAGCCTGGCCTGGTTCATTCAACAAACTATACAAGGAATCAGGACTCTGATTTCTAGTTTGGGTTTAATATTAGTTTTCTAGACTGTATCTTCAGCAGTTGTCATGGTTTGGATTGAGAATGTCCCCCAATGGCCTCATGCACTCATAGAGGGCCTTTTGGAAGGTGATTGAATCATGAGGGTGATGTAGCTGGCTTGCTATTAGGAAGCAGGTTCTGGTTGGAAGAGGTTCATCATGGGGCATGACTTGGACTGGTCTATTTCCCTTTCCAGCTTCTTATCTGTCTCTCTCTCTCTCTGTTTCCGGGCTACCACAAAGAGTGCCACTTTTCCTCTGCCTATGCTCTTCTGCCATACAGTTTCTGTCTTTCAGCCTGCTGGACTAAAACCGTGAGCCAAAATAAACTTCTCCTTTTAGATATGAGTGTCAGGTATTTTGTTCCTTTGATGAGGAAAGTGGCTAAGACAGATGTTGGTGCTGAGAGTGGGGTTGTTGCTGTGAATGTACTTGATCACATGATTTGGAAGACTTTCAAAGTGACTCATGGGAAGAATCTGGAAAGGTTTGGTAATGCCAGCTAAAGAATTCTGGAATTCTGTAAGCCAAGATTAATGTGAGATTCTGGGTGGAGCTCAGAAGATCGGAAAACTGATAAAGGCTTTGGGAAGTTGGCGTTGTGAATAATGGCTTTGTTGGCAGTTGAGCTCAAGATCATATATGTTACGTTCTGGAAGAAAGTTTGTCTACATTTTCCCTGTGTCCTGAGTCTTGCAGGACACTGAGATTAGGGTGGTTGACTAATTAATCTAGTGGAAGAAATTTCAAGGCAGCCCAATGTTGATGCTCTGGCATCGTACTCGTGACAGGTTTTAGGCATGTTTACCATGAGAAGCAGAGCCAAAAGCAGAGCAGAGAAATTGCAGCATGTAAAATCAGGGTCTGTAGAGTTCGGACTTACAAAGTTTTGGTCAAGGAGTACTTGGTTGCTGAAAAGTTTAGCATTAAAAAGAAGTCAAATACTTTACAAGACAATAGGAAAGATGCCTTCTAGGTATGTGAGGAATCCACAAGAATCTACTCAAAGAAGGCTCTATGATACAAAACTGTGAAGCTTCCATTTGAGAAGAGAGCCCTGGGGCACTGTGTTCAAGAAGAGCCAGCCAGGGAATTGATTTGCTGGGATTTGTTTCACAGTGCCCAGCCATTCAGGCACTCAAGAAGCTGCTGCAAACACGATCCAAGGGGTCTCTGGTATTGCTTGAGCTGACAGAAGACAGCATTATCCACATGGTGCTGGTTTTGTAAGCATGCAGAATGCAAGATTTGTTGGATTAGGGAGGTTTCTACCCAGATATCATAAGAAGGCCTGGGAGGCAAAGCCATGTGTCCCTGAGAGGGCAGTACATGTAACTGTGAGAGTGAAGCTGAAAGTTCAGTGGAGCCCAGGAAGTTTGAGAATTCAGAAATGTGAAACATCTGAGGATATCCATAGGCAGTAGGTGAGAATGAAGTCACCCCAAGAGAGAAGCCATGAAGAATGTAACTGGAAATGGTGTAGGCAAAAGCCCACCAAGCCCTTTGGAATCCATATCTCACCACAATTTAGCCTGGTGCTGGGGATGGAACTATAGGATTTAATGTTTGTCTGGCTGGGTTCAGTTTTGCTTTGGTCTGATTTCTTTCTATTCTCCATTCCTCCCTTGTGGAAATGGGATGTTTACTTTGTGCCACTGTAGGTTGGCAGTATTTAACTTTCTTTTTTATTTGTACAGGCACTCATAACTAAGAGTTTGCCTTGAGTCTCAGAAGAGACTTTTAGACTTGGACTTTTTAGCAATGCTGGAACTTTTAGTACTTTGGCAACTCTTAGAGATGGACCAAATATATTTTGCATAAAGAGATGCACATGAGTCTTTCGGAGGCCTGGGGTGGAATGCTATGATTTGGATCAAAAATAACCCCCAAAGCCCTCATGTGCTTTCTTTGGAAGATGATTGAATCATGAGGGCACTAGAGCTGACTTGCTGCTGGGAGGTAGGGTCTGGTTGGAAGAGGCAGTCCACTGGGCGTGACTTGGAAGGGCCTATCTCCCTCCCCAGCTCCTCACCTCTCTCTCTCTGCTTCCTGGTTGCCATGATGTGAGCAGCTTTTTCTCTGCTCTACCCTTCTCCCATACCATTTCGATCTTGGAGCCACAACAGTATCCATGAACCAAAATAAACCTTTCCTCCTTTAAGTTGCTGGTGTTGGTTATTTTGTCCCAGCAATGAAGAAAATGACTAAGACAGCAGAAAAATGGGAATGAACTATCACATTTCCCCAACAGTG